ATATAAAAATATTGGATAATTTACTTTCATTTATTTCACAGTAAGATTTGGCAGTGGTATGTCTTTTCTTTTCCTTCCAAAACTCATGGCTCTAGGTCATGGTATGTCTTTTAAAGCATGTGGAAACCAACTCTTTTCAAACTGACTAGAGCTTTGTCTTAGATCAAGTCAATCTCCCAGTTTGTAAAATATGGAAGAACAACATATAGAACATCAATTTCATTTCTAAACAATTTACACAATCTAGAAAATGTAAGAACAGAAGTATCAATTAACAATTATTTGTTATAAATTACCACAATATAAAACACATTCATTATTGCTTAATCCCTTCTCCTAATTTAAATGTAGAACACCACATATTATTATTGTGCATATCAGCATCAGCTTAAATGAATACTTGTGACTCATTCATAAAAGAAATAACTAGTTTTACAGAGTTATAAGAGATTAATGGAAAAATCATTTTGGCTGACCCTTTCTCTTTTGGGCAGACCACCATTTTACAGCTATAAATTGTGAAACTATTAAAAGAATTATCAATCTATATAAGCAAATATAGTACCTGTAAAGTTTCTCTGCAGACATAGGCTATTTGCAATTCTGATAATGGTCCAGTAACTAAAAAGATAAAGAGACCACTTTGTTATACAATTCAAACATAACAGATTAAAAACAATCTACTTAAAAAATGACAAACTATTATGAAACAACTTTTGCATATATTGTTAGATGACTTCTGAACACAAGCATACATTATTTTTGTAAACAAGAAACAAAAAAAAGTTAACATAGAGAATTTTAAAATGTACTTCAAAAATAAAAGATTTAACTCCTTAACTACTTTGTTCAGTGAAAATATTAAGCACTCATTATGTGCAAAGCATAGTAGTAGGCATCACAAGAAGGTATATAGAAAGCAATGGACAAGTTCTCAAACCTGAACAATTTTCCAAAAATAAAGAAACTGGACAAACATATATAACTAATTACAGTTATATAAAGAAATAGAGAATCACAAAGAGATTGATTGTTGAAATATACTAAAAAGCATTATATACATTTTTAAAGGTCAAGATACCATTTCTTTAGTA